ATCTGCGTTTGAGCCAAATGGCACCGTATAGGTGGGTTTGACCCCGCCTTTCAGTGTCATAATTTGGCTCTTTGCCATTGAGAATTTTAAGCCGAATTTATTTGACCAGTTTGTGAGTTGGTCAAAGTATTGACTAAGTCTTTTCTTGACTGTGTCTAATCTTGCAGCCCCGACTGCGAGTGCTATATCGTCTGCATACGCAATCATGTGTGATTGGTGTCCTATAGGCTCGAATGCATCCGACATCGCTACCTTCCAGAGTGTCGGTCCTAGTCTCGACCCCTGTGGGCAGCCGCGTGTCATTTGCCTTGTTCTGGTCTCTTTGTCAGACATGAGTGTCGCTGATCTGTTCGTGAGATAGTTCTCAAGTAGTGCAAGCGTTCTTTTACTAATCCTGAGGATTTTTAATCGTTCGAATATTGGTGACCATCTGACGTAGTCAAATGCGCCAGTAATATCCAGGAAGGCACCAACTATTATCCTGTTAGGACACTGATCTGTCCAGTCATATAATGCTTTAACGGCTGTCTCGGTTGATCTTCCGGTGACGTACCCGTGTTGTTGGCCTATTTCGTTTAGTCCGGTTTCTTTTTCTAGTCTTGATGTTATTAGAGACTCCAATGCCTTACCGAGAGTTGGTAGCAGACTAATTGGTCTGTACGACCCCGTAAGAAGTGGGTTCTTTCCTTTTCCTTTTGGAATGATCACCAACTTGGCGATCTTCCAACAGTTGGGAAATCTTGCAATTTTTAGACATTTCTCATATAGATCCGTTATGGAGTCTGAGATGACTGGCCATGCAATTCTAAGCATCTTGGCGGTTATGCCATCCAGACCTGGTGCTCTACTTGGTTTCATTTTCCAAATGGCTTCTTTTACCTCTTGTGCAGTTGTACTGTCAGGAGGTGTGTCATCTGCCTGGTGGTCATAAGGCATAAAACTTGGCATATTCCGATCCTCGGGCAAATAGGCCTCGAGAAACGTATCTAAGGTGTCTTTAATGTCGGTGGTATAAGTCCCGGCACTGGTTTTAACCGTGGTGGGCATCGGATTCTTCCGTGAGCCACTCTTAGCCCATCTGAAGGCTTTGCCCCAACAGTTAGTATTCATGTCTGCGCTAAACTCGCGCCAAGAACTCATCTTGGCGAGTCTGATTTTATGCAGATGTTGGTTTCTTTGGTGCTGATATGCCTGCCTGTTTGTATCAGGGAGGCCCTCTCGCCTGATTCTCTGAAGTGATTTTTTTGACTTAGTGAGTTCATCCGTCCACCACGATGGTGTTGTTATACCAGTTTTAGCCCCTCCACGCGTTGGCATGGATAGCTTTGCTGCTTGGACAATAGCCTCTGTTAGGCTGCATGCGATTTCGTCAACAGAATCGCCGTGGATATTCGTCTTTAGACCCAAGAGCGTGAGTCTAAATTTGTCCCAGTCCGCTTTGTCTGTATTAAACCTTGTACCTGGGTTTTCAATTTTCCTTTTAGGACTTTTGAGGTTTAAAGTGAATTCCAGTGTCCTGTGGTCACTGTCTGTCCGGTCGGTCACGGTCCAGCCTCTTACTGATCTGTTGATCGAGGTACTGGCCAGTGTAATGTCAATGTTGGACTCACCCATTCCGTGCCTTTTATAAGTCTTTAGATCTTGAGGGGTATTTATTATGCGGAGATCCTGATCATCGACCAGTTCCTCAACTATCTTTCCCCTTGCATTGGTGGAGTCATTGTGCCATCTTATGGAATGGCCGTTGCAATCAGCACCAATCAATAGGCGTCTATTTGCCAAACTGATATTGGTCAGTAGTTCTGTGAACATTGTTGTGGGCTTGTTATACCTAAAGTAAGCTGATACTATCACAACGTCGTCTTTACTGAGGCCGATGCCAATTCTGGCAACCGCAATATAACGAGTTGTAAATTGTCCCATTTTTATTGCTTTGATTTTATTATTTGTTATAATTATGGCAGCTTCGGGATTGTCATCGGACAGAATCTGTCGACAGCCCTCGAAGCAAGTCACGTAGCCATTAATTATAAGTGGGTCTTGGACGAGTATGATGTCAACCTTATCTTTCAAACATATGTCCCTCAGTTGTTCGGAGGCGATCATTTGTTTGTTTAAGTTGACCTGAATTATCTTCAGGCCGTTCATTATTGTTCTTTATCTGTAGTTCCTGTCGCAAGCGGTTGGCCGAAGTCAGTCCGCTTTGCCAGGCGCTTCAGAGCGGCTGTCTTTGTAGGACAGCTGTCGCTAGATGCTTTATGTTCGCCCTTGCAATTGCAACATTTAAATTCTTTGATCTGACATGTTCGGCTGTCATGGCTGCCAGCACAGTTTCTACATGTCATTTCTTCTTCACGACAGTTCTTTGACGTATGACCGTATTTCTGGCACTTGAAGCACTGTGACACTGAATGATTCAGACTCAGTGTGCATCGAATGCCGCCGATATACGCTTTCTTTCCTTCAATTCTTCGAAGAATTTCAGGACTTACCTCAAGGACAAAGTTGGTAACCGTCCCTGATCTTGGCCCAGAGTGGTAGGCCACTCTGATGTCCTGTGCATCGGTCTCGGTTAGACCCAATTCCGGATTGCAATCTAGCAGTTCCTGAATTACTTCCTCGTCCTTAAGGCTGCTGTCGAGGCCTTTAAGAGTCAACCGTGGCTTTCTCGGAATAATTTCCAAGACCAAGGTATTATCTCTCAGGGCATCTAAGGTGTCCTTATTGTCCGGTACTAGTATGGTTGGACCTTTTGTGCGGTTTTTATGAACCGCCAGTCTTGGGTTTTTAATGTTATTCCTTAGTACTGTCCAGAACATTTTCCATAGTTTAGGATAGTCTTCGCTTGTCGCGGAGTCCTTTAGGATAAACCTTGGCAAGGCTGGTGGTTTTCTGATTGTATTCAGGTCTATATTAGTCTTCTTTTTACCTTTTCGCTTTTTGGTCCTTTCAACTACTTGGAAGGTGCCTTCCGTTGTAGATTGTTGGACTTGTGGCGCTGGGTTTTCTGTGACTGCCGCCGGTGTCATTGGGCGTTTTGACCTTTGTTTTGTTTTAGAGTTCTTTTTTCCAACTCTTCCATCGTGAACACTAACCCTGGCGGGTACAGCGACCGATTTGTTACGTTGGACTGCGTTTGAATAAGATTTGTCATTGTCTACTCGCGGTGTGGATGTTTCATCATCATCATCATCATCGTTAATTGTGATGATTGCTTGCGGTCTGCTAGGCTTATTTGGCCTTTCTCTTTTGTTTTTTACTGTTTCTTTATAAGCCCCTTCAAGCTTTGCGTGTTGGTACGTAATGTCTCTTACGATCGAGCAGATACGGTTGTAAGATCCCGTAAGTTCTTTACGCATAGTGACTGTTATTCGCTTATTCAAGCTGTCGCTTTCAATAATTGTTTTTAGGTTGTCCAATTCCGCGTGGACTAGGTGATTTAGTTCACCAACAGTCTCCTCAGATTCTTCATCTGTTTTTGTCTTTTTGGTTTCAATCTCAGTCCTATCAGTGGGACTCAACTCGGGTTCGTGTCTCTTCTGCGAATTAGACGGACCCTCCAGAGTTTCTAGACTACCCGTATCCGAACGAGTGTGTTCGGTCACCGAGACAACCGAACTATGACTGTCTAGTCGTCTGTAAGTCAGCTGTTGTGGGCCTTGACTAGTAGGGCTACGCAGGATCCTCATCTGTTCGTCTTCAGATAGTTCCTCGTGCATGTGTTCATAAAGGATCAATTGAGCCGTCTCAAGAGAGGCTCTTAATTCTTTTGCAAGGTCGTATACCTGAAACCTGTTTTTATTAGATAGGCCCTCGACCGCTAATAAGTCGAGGTCTTTTAACACTTTGTCTATTTTGTCTTTGACAAGTTCTAGGTGCGTGTCTGATTTGACCTTACATTTATCAAGAAATAGTATTTTGTTTGTTAGACTGTCTACTATTTGTATCATTTTTCCACGATTATGATCGTTAACTTTGTTATGTTTTCTTGTTGTTGCGTTCTTTGGCCAATAACTGTCATCCTGAAAGAACTCCTTAACAAAGTTCAATTTCTTTTGTATGCTTAAAATGTCCGATTCCGATATATCAAATTTATCCATTTCCGTGTTCCAGCTTACATTAACCGAGCTATTGATAACGACCGATGTGGCGAGCTCACCCACAACTGCCGGGTCTGAGGTTTCCGAGGCCTCTGTACCATTAACATCATCTTCATTTCTGTCTGTGTTCATATTGATTTTTGAGGGGAGCGCCCTCTTTTTAGCCCAAGTCCCTCTGGCCGCCGGTTGGCTACACCGGCGGTTGCATGTTTGCCAGGGGTTAGAAGTCCGGAGCCGGCCTACTCCGGACGGTTTTTGAACGCCTCTTAGCGCCGGGCGTAAGCCCGGTCGGGCGGGGTCACCACGTCAAGGTGGGCGATCTTCGACCCCGAGTAGATAGGGACATGGAGAGCCCGGGTTTTTCGGCTTGCGCCTTACCGCACCTCGTCCGTGCCTTAGCGCTATGCGCTACTTACGGGCGGGGGTGGAACTAGAAAGGCGGGAGCTGCCTCCCACCAGACTAGGGTCTTCTAGAGTTTTTTGTACGTGGCTCTATGGAAGACCAGCACCGGGCATGAGCCCGTACCTATCTTGAAGACTGGGATGACTCAGTTAAGTGCCACCTGGGTACCGTCTTCCCACAAGGTCCTGTGGTTTTGGGTTCTACTATCTAACGCCTGTCCCACAACCACCACGTTTCAGCCGAGGTAGGCTCCTCAACCTCGAGGGGCAAAGCAGCCAGAGCGGGCGAGCCGCTCCAGCGTGCAATGGGGCTCCCCTCTCCCGTGGCACCGACTAGGTTTATAGTTGACGTCGGTTGGTCAACCCGGTCTATGACCTCCCACTATTTTGGCTCCCCAGCCGGCTAGTGGTGGGCCTTTTTTAGTGGAGATTCGGACGGACGCCTGAGCGCCCACCCTGGGTCCCCACCAACCCGCCCGTCGCCTTAACGGGACCTACCTAACCAGGAACTAAGCCTAACCTGTCCGAAGATCTTTTGGCCTCGATGGCCTCCCTAGCAAAGCGACGTAGGGCACAGTAGTTCGACCTCGTGTCCATAAACACCTTGGTCTCACACGGCCAGACGTCCTCGCCAATTTGCCTGATGACCCTATCTCTCTCAGCAGAGAGCAAAGGGCATCTGTAGAGCACATGGTCCACCGACTCGTCCTCGGTCTCACACCTGCACATGGCCTCTCCCCGTAGGTTGAAGGACTCCAACTTGGAGTTAAAGTCCCCGTGCCCCGTTAGGAATTGGCACACGTAGTGATCCACCTCGAGTGGGAGGACCAGTCTCCTCCTGATGTCTGGGAAGATACCGTAGGTCCACCGACCCTTCACGCTACTATCCCACCTATCCTGCCAGATGTCCAAGAGCCTATCCCACTGGTCGCTCATCTCTTCCTCTGAGATTTGACCAGCTTTCCTTCTAGTCCTAACCACATGCCAACGAATTTCCAAATCGAGAGGCAGCTGCCCAGCTACCACCTGCAACGCGTCCGTTGAGGTCGTACTGTATGCCCCCGTAAGAGAACGAAGGGCCCTCCTCTGCTTGCTGCCGAGGAGTTTTATCGCCTTCTTGGTGAGGACTCCCTTAGCCCAGATCTCCGCGGCGTAAGTGATACGGGGCAGGAAGACCGCCCTATATATTACTGCGGAGGTGGACTGCCGAAGACCCCAGTCAGCTGACGATGCCGCTCTTAGCCTGCTGTACAAGGATTCGGACTTTCCGGCCACGATGCTCACGTGCGCCCAGAAATTTCTCTTGCTGTCCAATTCAACACCTAGATACCTAACTGAGTCTACGGCCACGATATCCTGCGCCCCGAAGGGCACGGTGAAACCCGACCGCAACCCGCCTTTCAGAGGGATAGCTTGAGACTTACTCGCCGAGAAGGTTAGACCTCTCAGCTCCGCCCAGTCGCGTAAAGCGCCGAGCGTCGCTCTGGCTCGTCCTTGAATGTCCAAGATGTCGGAACCTGCGATGAGAACCGCGAGGTCGTCCGCATACGCGACCAGCTTAACCCTGTCATCATTGTTGGTGACCAACGCCCTATCCATCGACAAATTCCAAAGACTTGGCCCTAGCTGTGAGCCTTGAGGGCAGCCTCTGGTGAGATCCGCGAATGCTGTCGCTCCCTCCACCGAGAGCACCGCCCTCCTGCCCGTCAGATAGCTTTGTATGATTGATCTGGTCGCATCTGATGCGCCCAGAGTCATCATGTCCCTAATCAATATGTTCCATCTCAGGTTATCGAAAGCGCCTGAGATATCTAAGAAAACACCTACCACCATTTCCTGACTGTTGTCCACCCAATCCAGACACGACTTGATCGCGCTGATTGTAGACTTGCCGACTCTGAAACCGTGTTGCTCCTCTGACAGAGCTCCCCCCGTCTCTTCCTCAAGTCTGTCCACCACCAGCCGTTCCAGCACTTTTGACGGTGCCGAAAGCAAGCTAACCGGTCTGTATGACTTAGGAAGGCTCGGGTCCCTATCCTGACCTTTGCTGATGACCACGACCTCAGCAGTCTTCCAGCAATCCGGAAAGACCGACCTCCTAAGGCACTCTCTCAGGACACTGGTTAGCGGCGTGCCTATTACGCCCCAGGCCTTCCTGAGAACCCCGGCGGTGATACCGTCCAATCCCGGAGCTTTGTTAGGGGCCATCCTCCAGACGGCCCTCTTAACCTCCGCCTCCGTGACCTCCGGCCTCTCTCTCTCAACAATGCCATGTTCGAAGATGGGAGCAGTCACGTCCCTGGGGATGAGACTCTCCAACAGACACTCAGCCGTCTCCAAAGCCGTCACCGTGAAGGTTCCGTCTTCCCGGAGCACGGAGCTTGGAATCCTACTCTTAGAAGAACCATTCCTAGCCCAACGATAGACAGGGCCCCAGATGTCCGAGTTTATGGAGGTAGCGAACTTCCTCCACGACTCCATCTTGGCCCTCCTAATCTTTTTCAGATGCTCGTTCCTGAGCACTCTGAATTGATCCCTATCCGCGACTTTGTAGTCCCTGGTGCGCCTGAAGTTATTGAGACGCCTCTTGGACTCTTCGAGTCCAGCGTCCCACCACGGCGGTTTTATCCTAGCGGACTTGCGTGAGCGTGGCATCGAGGCCTCCATCGCTTGCCCGAGGGCTCGCGTTAGAGCACCAGCGACGACATCGCACCCGCCCACCATGGTCTCAGGGTCACCGAGAACCTTCTGGGCCAGAACCCACCTAAACCTATCCCAATCGGCTTTCCTAGTATTGAATCGACGTTTCCCTATTGCGGGCCCTTCTGGTCCTGATCCGATTCGGATCTTGAATCTGATGGTCCTGTGATCGCTATCGGTGATATCGAGCACGTCCCACTCAGAAACGGAGTTCACCAAGGAACCCCCTCTCGTCAGAGTCACATCTATGTTCGATGACCCCATTCCGTGCCTCTCGTACGTGACGAGGCGGCCTGGCTGGTTGTGCACCGTCAAGTGTTTCTCCGCAATCAGGGATTCGACGTGGGTCCCACGGGCTGAACCCGTGTTGTTGCCCGGCCGACTGAACCATTGCGGCGAGTGCGCGTTCACGTCAGCACCTATCACAATATCCTGGTCGATACTATCCAAGATTAAACCTAACCTAGCCGTAAAGATGTGTGTCTGGATGCTGTACTTGAAGTAAGCCGACACGAAAACGACCGCCTGGCCATGCCTTTTCCTAAGGCTAGCCACGGCGAAGTGTCTATCGCTGAGCCCCTGCAAGGCGACCACCTCGATGTCCTGATTTAGAACAACTATGGCTGCCCTTGCACTACCTTCCTTACAGCTGAGAACCGTCCTGACGGCACTGTAGTCGAATCCTACAAGTCTGTTACCCGAGGTCGGTACCTCCTGAAGCAGAAGCACCTCAACCCCGTTAGCCCTGCTGTAGTCCAGTATCTGATCAGGAACGAGGTGGTTCCCATTCATGTTCAACTGGGCTACACAGTAAGTCGACGAGTTCATCATTTAGAGCCAAAATCTGTCCTACGGGCGACCCTTATGGTCGCCTTGTGCAGAGCTGAACATTCCTTGTGGCCCGACTGGGCAGCCTGACCGCAGTTGGCGCACTTGACCGGCACGCTCTGGCAGTCTTTTGCCCGATGGCCCTTGGCTGCGCAACGCCCGCAAGTGTCCTCCGTCGCTTTGCAGCGATTTGCCATGTGGCCGAAGCCCTGACATTTGAAGCACCTATTTACGTCAACGTATTCGACAGTCCTACACTTCGAGAGCCCGATGAAAAGGCTCTTCCCTACGATGGACTTGAATGCACTAGGCCTGACCGAGCAGACCCACCACACCAAGTCGCCCGTCTTGGGCCCCTTCTTGAAGAGGGGGACCACGTCCTCCTTCACCAAACCTAAACCCGAGTTCTGCTCGACGATCTGAACTGGGAGTACCTCACCACCGAAGTCCCTATCCACGTCGTAGATGAGGACAGTCGGCCACCTTGCCTTTTCTTCTGTGACCATCTTGCCGCTGGCCTCCATCTCCTTGAGCGCCTTGTACGTCGCATCGTCAGCCGGTTTGACCACCAGGTCGCCTCTGGGGAGCCTGGCGAAGTTCCCGAGTTTGGGCGCCGCCACGCCCTTTACCAAGTCCGCCCAGAGTTGCCTCTTGGCGGCCTCGGCACCAGCATCGCCCGCCGAGACGACGAAGACGCGAGCCGGGGCTCTGGCCTTCTCCCTCTCGACGGCCTTAGCCTTTTTGGTCGCGGTGGCGACCACCCCCGGGGTCTTCGTGGCCTTTTCTGGCGCTGGTTGCTTGCTCTTCTTCTTCTTCTTCTTCTTCCTCTTGTTCTTTTTTCCGACCACCACGATGAAGTCGTTCTCCTTGGCTGCTTGAGCCACGGGGGCCGACTCCCTTGCTGAGACCGTCTTCTTTGCCGGGACCTTGGCCTTTGAGGATTTCCCGATGACCGAGGCGTCCTCCTCTACGACTTCCCTAACCAAGCCTACGCACGAATGTACGCGTCTTGCCTCCTCAACCCTCCCCAACAGAACCGTGTTCTGCCGGAGGGCCTCGTCCAGCAAAACCTCATACCTCCCTCGAAATTCCAAGATCTGCCTATGAAAGGCTGCCGAAATCTTCCTCTTGTCCTTCTCCTTGAGAAGGGCAGCATCCATCTCCCTACCGATCAACCTAGCCTTTTCTGGGAAGGATGACACCCCGACTTCGGTACGTTCAGAAACGTCTTCCTCGTCGGAGTCAACAACCTTCCTCCGTTTTGCTTTTACCCGAGGTTCGGTGTCCTCTGAAGGACGCCCCGAACCGCCGGCACCCCCCCTAACGTTTCCTGTGTCTCCTCGAATTCACCCCCATCCGAGAATGAGTTGTCGAGATCCATGTCGGACATAACCATGTCCTTGGAACGAGTCAACCTAAAACTATCGAGCCTACCTACTCAAGCCCAACGACTTTTCCGAATAACGTACTAACGCCGATGTAGCTCTGCTAACTTAATTAATTAAGCCTGACACCTTACCTGAGGGCCGACAGCGCCGCAATTCTTCGCCCTAAGGCTTATACAGATCGACTCAAAATCGACACCGATCTGTTCGCGGTTTTGTATTAGCGCGCCACTCGCGTACGCGCACGCACCGCGCACTCGCACACGGATGCCGGTCCGGCGAACCGGAGGGGATGACCGGCTTACGCACCCGCACGATCGGCACGGAGCCCGCACTCGCGCGCACTCGCACGATCCTAAACACTGCGCGCCGCACGTACACCACTCGGGTCGCGCGCACTCGCACGATCCTAAACACTGCGCGCCGCACGTACACCACCTGACTCACGCGTACTCTCCCGCACGCGCACGATCCCGCGCGCTTAAAACGCCTTACCTAACTTTAGACGCCGATTGCTCAGCCGCTGAGCGTCGCACAGATCCGCTGTTTGGACTGGTCGATTTATCTTGAAGAAGACTATCCGACCGTCCAGGTCACGACTCCGTACCGCTGTTCTGGGTCCCTGTGTCAGCCTTTGAACTTTTTTAGCCCAACTTTGCCGCAACTTGCTGAAAGTTCACGCGACCTACCTCTAAATTAGCGCCTCGATGGCACTGTAGCGAGGATCTTTGGTCCGACGCAAAATTCGCACTGTGGCCTGAGAAAAACGAAAAAGGGGTTTTCGCGACCAGCCGTAAACAAAGGATTTACGCCCGCGATCGCTAATCACGCCCTGAACGCTTCGTTCCCTAACCGATTTTCGCGCGCGATACACCGTTGGATGCGCCTGTTCAAGACGAAGCTTTTGGTATATAATACGCAAAAAACGCACTACCCTGACCTAATTCAAGTTCGCTTGAACACGGAGCACACTTTTACTGTCCGACCGCCACTCTGAGATAGTAGATAGGGACAGGTCGTCCGAGGTTTGTTGGCGTACGCCGTTACAACTGTGTACCTTGTATTAGCACTAGGCGCTATTTAAGAGACACAGAGGTTCAGGCAGAGCTAATCTTACCCGGGTCGCCGTATGGGCCACCAGCACCGGATCGAAATCCGTACCTTTCTGAGTCCGGTCGGCTTGCGCCTTAGGGTCCTTCCTCCCACTAAGGTAGAGTGGATTGTTACTATCATAGCGCTTGTCCCACAACCACCGCGTTTCAGCCGAGGTAGGCTCCTCAACCTTGATGGGCATCTCCGACGGTCCGGCAAGCCGACCCGACTTCGATGGGGCTCCCATCTCCCGCGGTACCGACTAGGTTTAAAGTTGACGTCGGTGGGTCAACTCGAAGTGTTTCCACTTCTCCCACTATTTTGGCTTCCCAGGCCGGCTAGTGGTTGGCCTTTTGTATGGTGTGGGCCACCACCCCCCATTTTAGGACTGGGTTGTCCTATCCATTTAGTCGCCTTTTACGATCAAGCTGGATAAGACTGTTGCCGCAATTCTTTTCCCCGACAACAGGGGGGAACGTTCTTTCTTTTGGTTTCCCTATTTTGCATTCGTTCTGTTATTCTTATTCCCTAGTTAACATCTGATTTCTCTATGAGCGTGGTCTTAGCAAAACTCACAAACGCATCATAGATTCTTCTTGTTTTGATCAGCACATCAGGTTGGCATGGCCAGTTCTCTCCTTCACTTAGTACTGCCTCTACCGGATGTTCTCTTTGTAGCATCCACCTGTTGCAGTGAAATATGGAGTGTTCTGGGTCATCTGTTCCTTGCCCACATGCGCAGTTCGGAGTATCCTTCAAACCCAGCTTTGATAATTTTGCAGCAAAGTCCCCATGTCCAGATAGGTATTGTGTTATATAATGATTGAGGTATAATGGTGTGTCTAGTCTTGTTCTTATATTTGGTATGATCCTCCTTGTCCATTCACCTTTCCTAGAGATTGACCATCTATCCTGCCATATTTGTATGATGTTGTCCTTCAACTCTTCTTGTGCTTCCAGCGTAATTTTGCCTCTTCTATATTCTTGTTTCGTTCCTTCCCACATAATTTGTAGGTCTAGAGGTAGGAGTCCCGTTATTACCTGCAGTGCATCCGTTGATGTGGTGTTGTACGCTCCTGATACCGCTAAAAGTGGTGTTCTCTGACTTCTTATCATCTTTTCTCTCGTCGTCTTATTCCAGTCTTGCATCCATATGCATGCTGCATAAGTAACCCTTGGAATGTAGATGGCCCGATATAATATTAGAGCCGTTTCGAATGATAATCCCCATTCTGCTCCCATTATTCCTCTTAGCCTGCTGAATTCTACCGTGCTTTTTTCAACTATGTTCATTGCTTGCGTTTTATATTTTAGTTCTTGATCTATTTCAACGCCTAGGTATTTTAATTTCTCTACCGTTTTTATCCTTCCATCTCCAAACTTGAGATAGAAACCAGGCGCCAATGTGCCTTTAAGGACCATTCCCATTGTTTTTGTCATAGAGAAGGATAGTCCATATCTGTTAGCCCAGATGCATAGATCCTCAATGTGCGCTTCAGTTCTGCTTACCAATTCCTTCCTGGTATTGCCTGCAATTAGCGCTACTATGTCATCTGCATATGCGACCCTGTGTGTATGTTCTTCTCTTTCCGTTGCTAGAATCTGGTTGACCGTTATATTCCATAATGATGGCCCGAATCCTGATCCTTGTGGGCATCCTTTCGTGAGTGTCTTAGTTACAGTTGTGTTGTCTAATTTTATTTTAGCTGTTCTATTACGCAGATAACTTTCTGTTATTTTTATTGTTGCTCTAGATGCTCCCAAGTTTGTCATGTCTTGAATCAGAGGTTCCCATCTTACATTGTCAAAAGCTCCACTGATGTCCAAGAAAACCCCCATGACGTATGTTTCTTCTCTTAAGTTTACCCATTCAATGACCTCACTAATCGCAGTTAGTGTTGATCTGCCTTTCTTAAATCCGTGTTGTCCATTTGCAATGTTTGTTTCTGTCTCTTCATGTAGCCTCGTACACACAAGGTGTTCTAGGCTTTTTCCTAGTACTGGTAGTAAACTCACTGGCCTGAATGATTTTGGGTCCTCCCTTTTCTTATCTTTTCCTTTCAATATGGTTACTATATCAGCATTTCTCCATATTTTTGGAAAATATGCATTTCGTAGCAGGTCATTGAATAAGTTTGTTATTAAATCCCCCATTATCGGCCATGCTTTGCGCAGGATCATGGCGTTAATACCATCTTCTCCTGGGGCCTTTTTGGTCGACATTCTCCATATCGAGTTTTTGACTTCCTCTTTATTGGTCATGCTATAGTCTGATTGTTCCCTATATGGGGGTTCTTCCTGTTCGGATCCTGTATCCTCAGTTGGGATAAGTGTATCCAGCAGATACTTCAGTGTTTCCTCAAGTGTTTTCGTGTATTCTCCGTCCTGTCTCTTGAGCACTGAAGGTGCTTCTCTGTTTGCCGAGCCCTTCTTAATCCATCGGAAACATTTGCCCCAAGTGTTATCATTTATTTCACTTGCAAATTTTCTCCATGAAAGCTTCTTTTCTGTTCTCAATGTTTT